TTATTTAACCTCTTCGTTCCTCAGTTCCTTGGGCATGGTGGTTGTTTGAACCTCATGGAGTCGGCAGGATGATAAAATGAGTTAACGTATGTAGAAGAGTGTCTGGCACAAAGTAAGTGCTGTCTTATCATGACTGACATCTCCCCCAGCTTGTCTGTTCCCCTGGCACGATGCTCCCTTTGCACTGGGACGGGGTGGGGAGCAGAGGGACCTGCAGTAGACGCCGGTGCCACAAAGACTCGAGGGGCCTAGAAAATACTTCGCAGAGGAGCAGGCTCTTGAGGGCAGAAATTGGAGACTGGATACAGTGTGGAACTGATAGGAATGGGAGAAGGGCAGTTAGAAAGGCAACAGCTTGAGCAAAGGCATGGGGATGGGAAAGGGTGGGGCAGATTTGGGGAATGGCCCGGGGGTGGGGGTGGAGTCAGGGTTGATGAGGCTGGAAAGCTCACAGATTAGGGGCACAGACTGAGGAGGGCTTTGGAAGCCAACCTGAAAAACCTGTACTTGATGGGAGAGGTGGTGGGGAGCTACTGAATCTAGAACGATATTGATTCTAGACATCTGTTCTAGCTATCTCACCAAACCTTTTCACTGGTTCTGGTAGATGAGCTGATTTTCCAGGCTCACAATATACCCAGCACATGATAATTTCCCTCACTGCCAGTGTTTATCCCTCTTGGGTCTCTATCTTTTCTTCCTGTACTGGCTCAAACTTTCAGAACAGTTTTCAATGATAAGAGGTTTCCTTGACATGTTTTTGATTTTAGTTCAGAATGTTTCAAGTATTTCACCAATTAAGTATGACGTTGACTCAAGATTTAAGATCGATACCAGATCAAAGAAGTGTACTTCAGTTCTTATGTACCAAGAGGTATTGTAAGGAATTTATTGAATTTTAGCCAATGCCTTTTCCACAGCTTTGATATAATCATATGGTTTTCAGCTTTTGATACATTACTATGATTTCCCAACCAGTGCTTTAATACTGAATCATCCTTGCATATCTGGAATCAACCTTATTTGTTCATGGTATATTATTCTTTGTAATATTGTTTGATCAATGAGACCGTAGATTTTTTTTTGCATGGATATTAATAAAGTGTGACACTAGCCTTTAATTTTCATTTTTGTACACCTTTGTTAAGTTTTCATATCAGGATTATGCTAGCTTGGAAAAAAATGAATTGGCAAGATTATCTTTAGTTTTATATATCCTGGAACAGTTTAATAACAAAAGTATGTGTCCTTTGAAGGTTTAAAAGAACTTGCCCCAAACAAAAAGAAACAAAACTTGCCTGAAAGCTAAATGGACATCTTATATTAAAAAATTATTTTAAAAAAGAACCTTTTCTATTTCTGCCAAAGTGATTGGGCTGTTTGTGTTTTCTCCTCGACTTAATTTTGGTAATTCTTGTTTTCCTAGAAAATGGTACCTTTTGCTAAGATGTCCATATGTATTAGTATAGAGCATCTTTACATTTTTTAATATCTTTTCCATGTCTCTGATTGTATCTTCTCCTCATTCCTTTTATTTTTTTTTAAAGATTTTATTTATTTATTTGACAGAGAGAAACAGTGAGAGAGGGAACACAAGCAGGGGGAGCGGGAGAGGGAGAAGCAGGCTTCCCGCCGAGCAGGGAGCCCGATGCGGGACTCGATCCCAGGACCCTGGGATCATGACCTGAGCCGAAGGCAGACGCTTAACGACTGAGCCACCCAGGCGCCCCTTCTCCTCATTCCTTATCTTGATATTTGTTTCTTCTTTTTTGGATCTTGCCCTAGGTTTGTCTGTCTTATTGGTCTTTTCCAATAACAATTCTTGGGTACATTTATTGTTGTGTGTGCTTTTCTCTGTTTCCTAATTCTTTATCTTCTGCTTTTTCTTTATCGATTCCTTCCTCCTCCTTTCCTTAGGTTCATTTTATTACTTTTTTTTTTAGAGAGGGGGAGGGGCAGAAAGAGGGAGAATCTTAAGCAGGCTCCACGGCCAGTGTGGAGCCCGATGTGGGGCTTGATCTCAAGACCCTGAGATCATGACCTGAGCCGAAATCTAGAGTCAGATGCTTAACCAGCTGAGCCACCCAGGCACCTCATTTTATTACTTTTTTAATCTGGCTTCTTGAGTTGGGTGCTTTGGTGAGGCACTGTATTTTCTGCTTAAGGGGTCAAAGTTTTAAAGCATGTGTAACACTGGCAGAAACTGTTGGGGTTCTGACCAAAGGCACAGCTTCTTGTTGAAGAAAGAACCCAGTACCAGGAGGCAGGAGAGCTGCATTTCCGTCCCAGCCTTGCCTCCAATCGGCTGAGTGTCCCTGGGCAAGCCCCTTCTCTTCCCACGACCCTTTTTCCCATCTCAGGCAACCAGACGTGGACCTCGTGAGGCTTGGCCCCCATGTGCTCCCTGCACCAGGCAGCCTCCTATCAGGATAACGCCATCTGTCTTTCAGGAGGCAGATTTGGCCTCTCTCTGATGTGGTTCTGGCTCCTACCCCTACACATATATGCACAAAAACTGAGTAGCTGAATTTTCTTCTGCACGACAGAGCCGATAAGCAATGGTCACGGTGTGGCCTGAAGGCAAGGCTCAGCTGGGGTGACGTAGAGCCTCTGGACTCACCGTCAGACGCCCAGCCAGGTGTATGTGTGTGGCAGTGGAGCAGAGTGTCTAAACACGTGACCTTTGTCACTGCATTTGTGGTTTGTCGTCGTCATCAGGGGCGTGAACCTGGGGATGGTGCTGGGGCTGGAGCTCCAAGCCCATCAGACCAGCTCCCACCACGGCTGCTTTCTCTGCATGTCTCACAGTCTGGCCCCTGGCATTTTGATCTTGTACCAGCTAGCCTGACATGTAGGCTCACCCCGCTTCCTCAGATACCTTCTCAGCAGCCCTTGGGTCACCAAATCCCTGTGACCGTGTGCAGAGGGCTCCGTGTTGGGTGTGAGTGTTCTTCCTACCCCCACCAGGATGCTACTTGAGGCAGAGGAGGGTCCTGGGCTGATGTTAGGAAACATGGGCTGACGCACCTGCTCTGTGGCCTGTTCCCTGCGGGACCTGAGTCTGTTGCTCCCCACCCACCGTGGGTCTCAGCTTTGCCATCTGCAGAATGGTGACAGAGTTGGTCCAGAAGAGCTTCAAGGGCCTTCCCTTCACTGATTCTTGACCACAAGTGGAGGGAATTTTATGAGCTCCCGAGAGATCGAGAGCCCTGTTGGAGCCACTTCTTTCATTCACTTAACAAATATCTGCAGGCCTCTGCCATTCTGACATTGGGTACAAAGACGTGACCCTGGAGACAGGAGCTGCCCTAGAGGGCTATGAGCGCAGGGTCAGAGGAGGAGGAGAGGGGGAGGCATACGAGGGCTGGGGAGAAAACCTTCTTAAATGACCTTTATTAGAAGTGGTCAGTTCCATCGATTCCGGTTTTTTGTTTAATGTCAGCTCTTGTGGGGGCTCAGAGGTAGTTCGTTTGCTCCCCTTCCAATGCCCCATATGAAGAGACACGAGCAATGCTTGTTGCAAGTTGGGATGCCCAGTCTAAAGCCAGGGAGGTGGTGAGCGAGGTCAGGGGAGGCCACATGCCTTCTGTTCCATAAGGTTCTGGAAGGTAAGCAGAACCCCGTGAAATGAGGCAGCCTCTGGCTGGAGGCTGGACAGTCTTTGAAGGACTGGCACTAGAAAGGCTGTTGGTTTATCTGGGGAACGTTCACGGCCCATACTGTGTGCTGGCTTGGATTCTTTGGGGAGTGTTGATCAGAGGTGGTCTCTCTCCTTGGGCCACCTGCTAATGGGCTGACCTCAGAGTCATCTATCTGTGGCAGTGCCTGCACCAAGTCGTTGGGCTCCAGGAGATGTTCCTGGGACCTGGCCTGGCTCTTCATGGTCAGGAACTGCCCTCACCCAGTCTCCAGTGTCCCTAATCAGAGGAGGTCAAGGTTCCACTTTCCCTCCCTTGTCCTAAGACCACCTCATTTCCCTCCTGCTTCCCAGGATGGCTGAAGCAGGTGTATCTCCTCCTTCCAGGAGCAATTGGCAATCCCACCCATAGGGCGGGGTCTTGTCCTCAGGGCCCACTACCTAATCACTGAACAGTCGGATCGCCCAAGATCTGGGTTCCTGAGCCCTGAACACCCTGTTACATACACATAACTGGCGGTGCCTGAAAGGGCCGGAGCTCTGCTTTATCCCTAAGAGGCGGCCAAAGCTCAGTGCCATCTCCCTTACAGAGTTCTGCTACCTGGGGTTTCTTCCACACAGCATGAAACCCAGCATGTTTGGACACCCCATTCGTTCTGCCTTTACTCAGGACCTACCAGGTGCCAAGCCCGGTGGTGGATGAATGAGGTGTCCCCCCTGCCCTCCAGGAGCCGGCAGCCTGCAAAGAGGTGAACACATACCCACCAGAATGTCTGCCCCCAATGGCCGAGGCCTTAATCTCCACGTCCCAGCTCCCAGAACAGTGTCAGGTGTCAGGAGATACACTTCCTGCACCTTTGTCGAGTGAATGGCGAGCTCTAGGGCGAAGGAGGAAGGACTGAATAAGGACCAGACACACAGCTGAGGGTCTGAGGAGGAGGAGGAGTAGGGAGGTGTTGGAGCCGGCCTTCGCGGGCGGGTGGTGTTGGGCTGCCTGCAGCTGGAGGAGAGGGTGCTTTGCGCAGAGGCGCGGCGGAAGCAAAGGTGTGGACGGGGAGGAGTCCAAGTCCCCCCTTCAGCTCTCGCGAGGTGAGCTGGCCGGAGCTCCGTTTTCCCAGGGAAGCAGCAGAGCTGTCCCGGGTCCCTGCTGAGCGGAGCCGGGGTGGCCGGAGGGGTGGGTGTCTGTGTGCGTGTGTGCGCGCGCGTGCGCACATGTCTCATGCGTGAGTGACGGGAGGGGGGTGGGGGCACACCGGCGTTCAGCGCCCAGACGTGACAAATGTGCAGATGTCCCAGGAGCTGTGGACATGAGCGGCTGGCCACGGAGACACTCACCCCGTGATTTGTTGCTTTGATTCCTCAGGCCGTGACTTGGCGAGCACGACCCTCCCCGGGTACCCTCCGCACGTCCCCCCCGCCGGACAGGGCAGCTACTCAGCACCGACGCTGACAGGGATGGTGCCTGGTGAGTTTGCACTGTCGGCGTCTCCACAGCAGGCAGCGGACGGGGTTTCGGGGGGGGGGCTTCCCCCCAAACAGCCCGGGTGACCTCTACGCTTCTGAGAAGTGGACCTGAATAAATCAGGCAGAGGTCTGCACTCTCAGCCTCTCTCTCTGCAGCTGGGCCTTCAGTGGGGCCGGCAGTGAACTCGGGAAGGGGGGTGGGGACTGTCACTCAAACAGCCCCTTGGTGGCCACACAGATAGTCTGAACACAGAGGGGTGCGGGACCTGGCCAAAGGTTGCCCAGCCAGTGCTCAGTCGGGGTCCTCCGTACTCCCCCCGCGCAGTTTGTGTGAGGTGAATACCAGGAGGCTTCCCCGCCCCCCCCCCGACCCCCAGGGGCTCTCAGCAGCCTTACTCCTCGGGGTTGAGGACCATGTGCTCAGAACAGAGAGGATGTTGGCGGATGGGTTGGTGACTTGATTCTGAGCTGAACACCCCGTGGCCACGGAAGGAAACCTTATCCTCTCGGGCCAGCGGTGGGTCCGTTTCTTTAAAGACATTTAGAAAGGAGGCCGCCCTGTTCCTTCCACTGTAGGATGGGGTGGGAGAAAGAGAGCACATCATCCTGGTGCTGGCTGGCTATGTCCTCAGGGCATGAGAATAGCAGGAAACCCAAAGTATCATTTTTTGAAAGATGTTTAAAAAAATCAGGGGGTAAATCAGGACTAGGATGGATGTGGTTACACTTCTTTTATTCTTTTAAGGGTTAGTATTGTTTCTTGTCCTGAGTCATTTACCTGGTGCCCGAGCCCCTCTTTCTAGCCCACCCTAGGAGTCCTGCCTAAATAACCACATGCCTCTGCCAGCCTCCTCCGTAGCCCATGTCGTGGGCGTGTGCACCCCAGGCTGAGGACTGGTGGGGGTTGGACAGAACCGAACGTGAGACGGGGTGTTCCCACCTCCGTGTGAGGCCCCACAGGATGATGAGCCAAGCCAGGGGCGGGAAGGGACGCAGGGCGAATCCTAGCCTGGTTGGGCTTTCCCCACGCAGCCAGGTCCTGGCACAGATGCCAAGGAGTCTCAGAATTCTAAATTCACTCCTGGCCTTCCCGGTTGTTAACAAAGATGTATTTAACAAGGTAGGAGGACAGAGCATATTTCATTTAACGGTTTGTTAGCTTGATTTATGACTTTTAAATATGAGACATATGGGAAATGGCCTCTGTGTGTACTCGTGCCCTGGGCCTCGCCAGGGCCAGGGAGGCCTGCCAGGTTCACACCTGCAAAGAGCCTTTGCCTCTCTGCTGGGGGGACGGGTGCATGGCAGAGCATCGGGAAATACTGTGCACAAGGCCAACAGAGGTGGGGGGACCCAGACTCCTTCCCGCCCCTACTCTCAGGAGATGGAGCCCAAGTCCTGCCCCGCTCACGGCCCCTCGTGCTTTCGTAGCACTTTATAAAAGGCAAAGTGCTTTCCCGGGAGCCCTTTATGGTTCCAACCCTGTGAGGTGGGCTGGGTAGGAATCGAATTCCCATTTTCCAAAAGGGGAAGCCGAGACTCAGACCAGTTGGGGAATCGCCCAAGGCTGCACAGCCTGCGGAGGGGAGGGCTTGAATCTGGGGCTTTGCCCAGCAGTTCAGCGCTCCTTCCTCTGTACTCCGCTGCCTCTGTGTGCTCTCATTCCATCAACACAAGCTTCTGCCGGATGGCAGGGGCCCAGGCAGCCACCCCAGGCCCTCTCCCAAGGGCACACTGTCCGATAAGGCTGAGGCCACCAGCTGGCCCTGCCGGCTGCCCGCCGCAGACCCCAAAGAGGCCAAGTCTTGAGAAGCGGCTGAGCTTTCTTGAGTTTATCCAGAGCCCGCCCCTGGCCCCCGTGATTTCTCCAGGCCTAATTACTAGGCTCAAGATACAAATGGCCGTGGGCCTGGCAGAGACCCCAGTGGGAACCGAGGGCGGTTCCTCACCCATTAACGGCAGCCCGCAGGAATCACAGGGCTGAACAAATGTCCAGTCTAACCAAACCAGTGGCGGGACCGGTACTAGCATGGGGCATGATCAGTCAGTCCCCTGGCACAGAGGGACGGTGCGCCACGTGGAGGGAGGAACGCAAGCATCTTGGCAGGGAGCCCAGGTCTGCCTCCCACTCTCTCCCTTCTCCGTTTGCTTTCTCTTCTCATACACCCCTGCGACTCAGTCCCTTCCAGACCCAGTGTCAGGGCTGGGACCCCATGCTCAGGGGTTCCTGTTCCTCAGTGTCCAAACTGTGTCACATCTTTGGGATTCTGTTTCCAACATGATCATCAAACCTATTTTTGGAATGGCTTCATGGGGGCAGTGCTGGCCCACAGGCATTGTCTTCGCTGAACTGTCCCAGGACTAGCACACAGCACAGGGGGCCCACCTTACGGCACTGCGGGTCTTGGGCCTGCCATTCAGGCGTCACATAATCTGGCCTCAACCTGCCTTTCTGGCCAGCTCGCCCAGCTCGTCCCTCCCCGTGACCACCCACTGGTCCCTCGCACACCTCACAGTCGCATCCATCAGTGTCACTCCCATCTGTACCCTTGGTTTCTGCTACTTCCTGCCCCTGCCTGTTGGGATCCAGCTTTACCCTTCAGGCTACGTGGAAACATCACCTGCCCCGGGAAGCCTTCCGGTTTGGCCCTCCCCCAGGGGGATGCTTGATACTTGGCTTTGTTACACCCCATGGCCCAGCCTGTGTGTGGCCCAGTTAGCTGTGCCACTGGATGGTGGGTCGTAAAGGCCAGGCCCTCTGCTTTGTCTTCTGTAGCCCTCACTGTCCCTAGCACAGAATAGGTCCTTCTGTGTGTGGTGGCTAAGGGAGGGAGGCAGGGAAAGTTAATATGGAACCGTGCGTTAGTTCCTGTGACTGTCTTGCAGTCCTGGGGCCCAGGGCTGTGCTCCCTCTGGGGGCTCTAGGGAGAGATCCATTCCTGTGGGTCCTGGTGTTCCCTGCAAGTCTCTGTTCTACCTTCACAGCACGGAGGGGGTCACGTCTCCCTCTCCTTTGTAAGGATACACAGGACTGCATTTAGGGCCCAGCTGGATAATCCAGGATACTCTTCCCATTTTAAAATCCTTAATCACATCTATAAAGGGAACCCCCCCAACACACACACGCTCCTCCCTCCCTTTTTTTTTGGCGCATAGAAGTAACATTCACAGGTTCCAGGGATTAGGGCATGGATATACCACAACCTGTTTGAGGATTTCCACTTTGTTCAGATTTCTGACTCAATCTCTTGGGCTTCTGAATCTGGGAGGCCTTCATTCAGTTGTGGCCGTGCTGAAGGGGATGCCATTTCACAGACCCCCAGGGGCATAATGGTAGAGTTTGGAGAAACAAACTGAGCAAGATTTTAGGAGATTGTTTATTCTTCTTTTGTCTGAGGCTGTGACTTGGTAATTGTCTGTTTCACTATATGGAACAGTCCGTCTGCCTCCCCTAGCCGTGAATCCAGAGGGAGACCGACATCTTCTGACTTGTTTTCCTACGCTAGGTTTTTCGGAAATTTGGCCGCCCCCTCTTCTTTTAAGGGAAGACTTTCAGGTGTAAGGTTTCCTTGTAGACACATTGAGGAGGGACTGCCCAAGTGTAGTTGAACTTTTGGCCCTGAAAAAAAAAAATAGGCATCCCGTTTTTCCATATTAAATTCTAGCTTGTTGGCCTGGACTCTGTATTTTCCATCCTGATTCTGCCATCAGGGTGCTGTCTGATGTTTCCGGCTCCAGGGTGTTCCCAGGTCTGCAAAATGAGGCTTCTTGGTCTTCTCTGGTATTTGTAGATTCCATTTCTGCCTTCTGCCACTGTGCAAAATCTGTGAGTGCTTCGTCGATCACTTCCACTGAATAAAGCAAAGAGGGCACATAATCAGCTTAGAATGGAAACAGTTGAGTCTTGTTCTCCTCGAGTCCCAGCAAATGCCAAAAGTTTTGCACCAAAGATTTCCGTGGTGTCCTGATCGGTACAACTAGTTGATTCCCGCCTGGAGATGTTTGTACAACCTAACAGATATCAACATGGTTTTTGAAACTCTTAAAATTTCCAGGCTGGGTGAGAAGGAAGGGTGCTCACTGCCCTTTGGCTTCAGTAAAGTCTAAGCAGCAAGGAGACCGTCTTTGAGACGACCCAGTCAGGGACGTGCCCGTGTGCCCTCCACATGCCATCCCTCTGGGAGCTTTAGGCCCAAGTGCCAAGAAATCCCGACTGTGTCGAGTTTGCCTTCCTAGGGCTGCAGCAGACAAGAAGCTTGTTGGAAGCCCTAGAAGGCGCACAGCAAGTTCCTCCTGTCCTGGGCGCTCTACTTGCCATGGGTTGGTGTATATCGTTTCGGGGTGCTTTTCAGTTACATTGCTCAGTTAACTGATGGGTTTTCTTTTCATAAAGAAGGACGAGGGTGGGTAGAACAGGCACCTGAGGCCAGCGAGGAGGTGTGGGACAACAGCGAGAGATGGGCAGGCGTGGGGCCCGAGGGACTCTGGCGGTGGGAATGAGAGGCAGGTGCAGCTTCTTCTCAGCCCCTCTCTGCTGCTCTTATGGGACTAGTCCTCGCCTCCCTGTGGGGTTCACCTCAGAGGGGTCTTCCCCGTAACCAAATGCGTATTCATTTCCTATTGCTAGTGTAATGATTTACCGCAAACTAGTGACTCAAAACATAAATTCATCATCTTATAGTTCTGGAGGTCAGAAGTCCAGAATGGGTGTCAGAGGGCCAACGTCAGGGTGTCGGCAGGGCTGTGTTCCTCCCGGAGGCTCTAGGGGAGAATTGTTTCCTTGCCTTCTCCAACGTGTAGATATTCCTGCATTCGTTGGTTGGTGGCCATGCTGGGCTGAATCTTTATTGTGACGCCATCTTTCTACTTCTCTCCAGCCTCCCTCTTCCACTTTTAAGGACTCATGGGATTTTATTGGCCCCACCTGGATAATCCAGGGTACTCTCCTTAGCTTCCAGCTAATTAGCAATTCCTCTTTGCTATATCACCTACCATGCTCAC